CTTGAAGTGGGAACATATGATTTAACTGATGGAGCATAATATGATAATTCGCAGGTCAATGCGTAAACTGCATATTTTTCTGTTCATTTCACTTGCCACTGATTCATCTTAAACAATGAATCACTGCATTTTTCTTTCATGTCATCACTCATTTTTCTTCTTTCTTCTTATTTTCATATATTAGTTTTGTATTGATTCATAATAGTTCTTGATTTTACAGATTTTTTACTATGACAATCCTTCAATTAATTACCCAATCAACTAAAAAAATTCTGCAAAGAATATCAGCAATGTGTTATTTTGCATTGTTATTTCAACTGGAGTAAAATTTTTTTTTTGAATCTAATAATATATTAAAAAGATAATATAGGCTAATTATAATATAATATATAACATCTTTTGTATTTTGAAACAGAAACCTTCTTAACTGTACAAGTGTTTTTAACGTCAGGCTCTGAAGTAAAGAATTTATTTGATAAGTTGTACAACTGATTTTTTGAAACACAAAAAGGGTGTTTGTTTGATGAAAAACTTGGGAACAATTAATGATACACAATTTTGAATTAAAAACTGGGGAGGGGAAAGAAGGGTGTAACCACCCTTCTTTCCACCTTTTTAAATATTTATTAAAAATCTGTATATTAATTTTTTTTCTATGTTATTACACCATATTTTATGCCTTAGAAAAATCAGTTGTACAACAATTCAAAAATTGTTGTTCATCTAGAGCCTGACTTTAAAAAGGCTGCTTTAAGTTTAAAAGAATGCATTGAAATATTATTTATTGCAAAAAGTACAAATGAAATATGGACAACAATTAAAAACAACTCACAGTCAAAACATGTTTACTAAATTGAGTAATTCAATTAACCATCTAAATCAACTGGTAGTTTTGTTAAATTAGTCCCTTTTTCTTTTATAGATTGATCGGGAAGAAAAATTGAGTTATTGATTGACTCGCTATAATCTAGAGTATATTCGTTTGTGACCCTTAGTCAACGCCCTATTAAACTTGACCTTTTAATATGAAACTTTCCAAGTCTACCTTGCCAAAAATAAACAAGTCTTAATTAATATAAAATTTATTAAATTAGTTCAGAATTACTAACCTGTTATGAAATAGCAATAGCCTTAGTAGCTCCATGCCAGAAGTTAAAAGCCTTTTAATTTTATTATTTAAGTTGGTATGGTATTTTCAATTTTTCACAGCAATGGGTATGCTTTTCAAGCCAAAAATAAATCAAATTTTTTAAATAAAATGAAAATTATTGGCTGGTGGCAGGATTCGTTAAACAAAAGATAACAGCTTCCGCTTTTAAAGTAAGCTATCATAACTCAAACACAAAGAAAAATCTATGGTTTATCAATAGTCTACTGTTTCGTTTGTCTCAAAATCTACTGTCTACTACCACTAACAGTAGTCTAGCTCTATCAACATTAAGTATTGCTATCTACTTAAAATAGCTGCCATGCAACTACTTACAGTAGTAATTTTAAAACTTATTATGAGTCTACTCTTTGTTATGTCTATTGAGTTACTAAAAACATGTAGCATACAAAATCTATCAAGATCTACTTAGGACCAGACAGTAAATGATGACAGCACTACAACAAAATTATTTAAATGTCTATCTTCAGACTCAGACACAGCACCTGATCAATTAGTCTTATCCAGGTAGAAACAGCCAAGGTCAGCTCAGACCTTGTAATTTAAGGCTAGCGATCGCCTTCGTGCACCGTCGCGCACCTAATCTGCTATCGAAGGGTGTGAAAAATAACTCGCCTTTTTACATTTCAAAATAACTCAGCTCTGTGTCAGCTCTCGAAATGCTGACGCAATTTTTGCTGACCACGGCCACCATTTATCAATGTAAAAGATGCTAGGCCTAGGCTGAAAAATGTCTTTATACCGATATCATGGGTCATTATACTTCTCTATTTACAATGTACGAACTTCTACAAACCGAACAAACAGTTAATAAACAATGATTTCCGAACAAAATAACACAATAATCACATTGCTGTCTAAGAATAAACAACTAAGGTAGGCCTAGCACAACACCCTATGAATGAACTGTTGGTACTGCTTTCTCAGTCCCAATAGCATACTGCCAGAGATTATCTATTGATTTAAAACGACACCAATAAACGTAAAAATGATTTGATAAAGTGAAAATGAAGCCTTCCATTGTTTAATACAGTGCATTATCACGCCTTAAAAATCGATTGGAATCAACTTGAATGAAGACGGAACTTGAAGCAAGTTTCTACGATGGCTGACTCTTTTTTAGTACTGTAGACGTTTATTCAGATTTGGATGTTGTTAGATTCATCAGTATAATAAATTGCAAATACATAGCTTCACTTATTCTTCAAACAAAACACTTTTCAGAAACATGTTGCTAATTTAATTACAGAGGAAATTTGTAGAGAATAAAATTTTAATTTGTTAGATTTACTTAGATTTGATTTAAATTAGGCAATACACTGATTTCGTTCTATCAGCAAGCTGCCACGCAATGAAACTTTCTTGTGTCATCACAGCAAAACACATGTTTGCACATGACCCCACGAAAAGAATTAACCAATTTAGGAGGCGAGGTGTTTAGGAGGCGCGACCTGATGTCTGATGTTTACAACAACCGACCAGCAAGTGGCATCATGACTACGAAGAATGTGTGTTGGGTTTAGGAGTAAAATATCAGACCGAAAATGCACATAAAAACAATATAAAAGCATTCATTTTATTGGTAATTAAATTTGCTGTACAGTACAGCAAAACAACAGGTACAGTACTTTATACTGTACAGGTATATAGGCCTATGTTAACTTTTCGTAGGCTAGTCATACCAAACTCACGAGACTCTTGCTAGCTAGGCCTATGCCTATATATACAGCGGCTAGGCCCTAGCTGGCCTACAACAAGCTTGTTCGGAAAGTGTTCATATATATGTTACACTAACCAAATTTTTCGGAAATCCGAACATCGTAACCGGTCCCAAGCCTCCACCCTCCATTTTATCCTTGTCCCACGCTGACTGACAGTGTCAATAGAGAAAATAGAAACTTTGGTAGTTTAATGTCATTTTAAGAACCTACTTAGTATACAGTATTGGGGAGGGATACCAAATCATAATAGCGTAAAGAAACTTATCTAAATAAACTGAAACAACAAAAAAAACTTATCTATATCAAATTACTAATCTAATGTGTATGTTCAATGGGATTCCAACTAACTTTAAAAATTAATACATAGCTGTTGCACCAATATACTTAGCCTGGGTTCCAGGCCCTAATTTTAGGTTACTCACTCTTTATTGCACTTAATGCGCGCCATACCTAATTTAATTGGCGTCCCATACTCGATTTCTTTTTTTTTCGAATTAGGGCCTGGGCAAACGATTCATGTGTACGATTTCCCACATCAAATTTGATGTGGGATATCGTATGCATGACTGATTTTGTAAATCACGCGATTGGCTAACTTCATGCATATTAATCAATCTTGGTAAATTTTCAAAATTGAAGATGCGGATGTCTCAAACCTGTCTCAACTAGAACAAGCTAACCAGCTCCCTTTTGGCTACCTACTTGAATTAAAACAGTTAGTTAGTTCTGGCCTGCTGAGAACGACATGGACTGATAACCGTAGGCTATACTTAGGAACCTTGCTCACCGCTAGCTGCTACACAGATTTAGGCCTTTAGGGTAAAATATTGTTAAAAAGGTAGGCCTCTATAAGTAAGAACTTAAAAATAGGCCAAAGCCTCGTCTACTATTTGTATGGTATGCCATCTAGTTTAAGCTTAATTGTTTTTGCCATTGCCAAAATTAGTCTTACTAGCCAGGTCTATTCTAAATATTTTAGGCCCGTTTTATTAGGGAGGACTATTTAAATTTAGTCATGCCTAGTCGACGCGAGTGACTCAGTTTCGTGGCTCCAAAAATATAAACATTTGATTGGTTGAAATTCTTTATTTCGGTCCGCTCAATTATCCAAATATGGAATATAAGATTACATCATCCTTTTGGCATCCTGGTGCCTGCTTTCAGTGTTTTACAAGTTGCTTATTCCGTCTCAAAATTAACTTTCTTGTTGGTGGTGCTGTCCAGAATGAGAAAAATAATAAAAAATAAGAGACTTGTGGCAAGTCTACAATATACTGTACTGTGCAATACAGCCAATAAGCCTATTCTTATGATCCTCTCCAGATAAATTTGTTTTCTATTCCAACAGTAAGGATTTTTTTTATCTTCAATTCAAATTATCACATTTGGAAAAAGCATTTCCATTTGAAACTTCAAGGGTGGGCTAGAATGTCATATGCGGCGTGTATCAATATCAAGCACTTAATCTAAACTTAAACTTTATGCCAGTCTAGAAAAGTTAAAACATGTAAACATTTACATACTATACACCTTTACACATGAACAAGTGTACACCTGACCAATGTATGCTGTATAAACTATTGCACATGTACACATGTGAACACTACATACCTGTACACAATACCAATACACACACACACACACACACACTACTGTATGGCACCTAGGGGTTTCACCACCCTCAAAAACAAAAAACTTGTGGACCTCTAGTCCACACATTTTCCTAGGCCAGTTTTGGTGTTATGCCAAAACACTGGAAAATGAAAAGGTAGGCCAATGTTTCAAAGCTAATATAAAATAATGTATCCTTGCTACGATGGAAAATCCAACCAAGCAGGCTGTACAGTACTTAATTTGAAGTGAAGTACAAATTATGTACAAATATTTATTTAAATGAAGTCATGCAAATTAATATGGTAATTTCTAATTACCATATCCTAGGTTGTTAGGCTAATTTATTCAGGGTCAAGTATAGACATGCTTTGTCTAAATGTGACGCATGGATGAGCATGTGTCAACAGTTAATACGTGTTACAGGGAATCTGCATGCACTTGTGTCATCATCACCATACTGTACAAGGGATGAGTACACCTAATCTAATTTCACGTACCTGTGGGTTTGAGTAAAATCGTGGGATCGGGGAAGCGGTGTTCGGTGTTCTTGCCCTGCTACCTGTGCTGCCTGATGGTGAGGCTATGGACCTTGTCGGTGTTGCAGAACGAACAGATCTCTGCAAGGAACATAAAGACTATACATTACTGACTGAAAAACAGCTTAGCTCCGATAATGAGGTGACGATATTTAAATACAGCCGTATGGATGGTATGGTGGAATACTTACATTTGACCGGACAGCCTGTTACTAAATTCCAACAAATTATATTTCATATCAGAGTTGAAATATGCCAAATGGTTTTCATATGAAAGTGTTCTGGCTGATAATACTTCAGCTAACTAATGATATTTCGTGATGGGCCAAATGACAGAAACATAAGGTTCTTAGTAAAAGATTGTTTGGATGTTTAACAAAAATGGAAACTACAATGTATTTTCCCATAATGAGATTAATTCTTAGACATTAAGGAACCATAATGTTGATCTAGCATCAAACAAAATGGCTTAAAACAAATAAACCCTCATTTTATATTCACTTTAGAAACATGTAATTGAAGTATAACTTTCTTTATAAGAGAATTGAGTGTCAGAATTGTTATTTATGTACAGTTTAAGCTTGTTATATTCACAGAATCATCTAAATAGTGAATTATGTATGATTTAAACTTATATTTAAAATATAGGCAATTGTTTAATCTTTTTGAATCTCCTTGATTAAAACAAATGCAATTTTTTAAAGTTAAAAAGAAGTAATAAAACTATTCTCACTCAATGCTATATTGCTGGTTGTATAAAGAATACAATGTTGCTAGTTTAAACAGTTCACAGTGATCAAGCTGATAATAGCTTTGTATTCATTTAATTGTGAAGAAGAAATTAAGTTTTCTAATTTTAAGGTTTCATGGCAGGTAGGTATCAAAAAAAATTTTTTTAAGTAATTTTCTGAAATTCAACATGTGCAAGCAAACAGACTAAAAATAAAACATTACTTTTTGTTAAAGATGTACTACTACAGAAATATACAGGAAAATACCTAAAAAATTAATTTTCCACAGCTAATTTAAAAGGATCAAATAAATGATAAGCTTCCACCAAGAAACAGATAAAAAAAAATAGTTTTCACTGATTTACAGAAATTTTACTACAAAAATCCTTAACTGACTTGGTAATTTAAGGATTTTGTAGTAAAATGACTGTAAATCGGTAAAAACACTTTTTTTCTTTCTGTTCTTAGATGGCAGCTAATAGATGAGCTATTCAAAACTTTATTTGAATTTTTGAGGTATTGGCCTGTCTTTTGACTAATAGTACATCTTTAAAATCATTATCCGCAAGTGGTGGGTTCGGAAAACAATTATCTTATGTTCAAATTATTCGGTGAGATATTTGTAATAGCATGTTACTATTTTGAAGACAGGATGCCTTTTTGGCATTTTGCACACTGTCTTATAAGAACAATTACAAAATTCCAATATAAGTGCAGTCTGTCACAATTTGACAACTATTTTGAAGTATGTACAGTAGGTATAGTCAGAGTACCACAGCAATGAATGACTTCATAGGCTTTCTGAAATAGGCATTTTAAAATCTAATATTTTACCATTAAAATGTACTAAAAACACAAAAGCTCGCATTATATTAGTTATCGAACACACATTTAATCATCAATTAAAATTTACAAAGAAAAAGTAAGCAACATCTTAATAATTACATTAGAAATTAGGATCAATGGTTTGTCAGTGATGAAAATGGCGCCTGGTTGTATGCTTTTTGCAACAATAGCAATGGAGTAGTATCACGCGGTATCATGACGTAACACTGTAGTACTCTATACACAGAATAGTTTTTACACTGGGTTCTGAAAACTGAATCGATGGATTGTGTGCCCACGAAAGTGTAGGAAAGTTATCTAATCTACATGTACATATGGCTACTTGCATCATTATGTCATGCTGCCTGTTTTAATGGAGTATCCCAGTTGGCACCGCAAACTATAATTTAGATTGTATTGCTACTTGCATCCCTCTGATTCGTGGAGACAATATAGAACAAATTGAAAATACCTTACCGGTACGGTCAAAAACATACAAATAGATCTTTAAAGCTATTGGGATTTCATTCAAATATTGCTGACACATTTTTATGTTTTGATTTTGATTTCTGACATGGGCAAAACTATTAGGATATCAGATGAAATAATTGATCTATAGCAGACAGTACCCATAGGAATAAGATCGACATTTTGACCTAACAATATTATGGAGCTCTCATTTTTATTATTAAAGATAATTATTAATGATAAATATTTATTAGCTAAAAGGTAAAACAAATTTAATGTATTTACCATCTATAAACAAGTCTAGAAAAACAAGTCTAAAAGCACCTTATTACATGGTATTTTAAAATATGCCAAACGATGAAAACCAACCAATAAGTAGCAGTAGTGACAGTGACAGCATGGGGTTAGGAGAAATTTATTCCCTGTTAAACAATCATGGACTACCTCTTCCTTCGTCTGCTGACGCCACATCCAGACCATCATACTAACAAAACGTTATGCCTATCCAAACAATGTTATTGTGATTGCCAATCACTAATATTGTGGTCTAAAAGCATAAAAACAGATGTATCCAAGTTGTACTCATTAAAGTTTTATGAACAAATGCTTTAAGTATTCAAAATCATTTTATCAGAAAGAAATGTTTTAATGAAGCTACAATTATATGAATAGATTATGTATAAACCATTTTAATCAAGGATGTACTACAAGAAAAGAAATTATGTTATTTGTTTTTCTACGATACATATTTACAAATGCTTTTAATGAATGTCAACCACAATTATTGAGTATCATACTAGGCACTGTCCCATGAGAATTGGAACACATTAATGTTTAAGTTGTGGATATAGTATATTTACATTACGATAGTAAAGTGTTGATACTACAGTTGGATAACAATCAAAAAGAAACTAAATAGTGTGTGTACAGTATGAGTACGTTACTGATCTTTGAAGGACGCGGGTTAGAAGACATGGCTGCACGTGATGTTGGCACATCCAACACCATTCTGAAATAATTAGTTATGAGTTGCTAACTTCTTAATAATGTTTGTTTTTTAGCTAATATTTAATACTTAAAATGTTTTCTTTTCTCTTTACATCATAAGACTGCAATTAAAAATTTAACAATAAAATAAATTGTCCTGTACCACATTTCCCTGTTATTATAGCAACACGTAGTGCTTATAATTTCATGAGTTTTTATCTCTAGAAAATCCTAGGATTGTTCTCATTGCTACAACAAACATGATAACATTGCAAGTCACAAATTACTGCCTCTATCATACTTCATCCATATGGTTAAAAGACATACTGCTATAACAACTACTGATAACAATAAAAAACATACTGAAAAAATGTCATGTAGGACTTCTAAAACACACCTTTTTAATAGAGATACATAGTGCCTTTGATTTTAAAATTTAGATTAATAATTAGCATATTATACATTATTAATTTCTACTTTTTGTGATTATTTTTAATAGTTTTCTTTGTCGCATTATTCACCCAATACATAATAAATTTGAAGTTTGGGGTTTACAAATTGATGTAAAAAGGAAGCTTTCAAATTTAAATAGAATGAAAAATAATTAGTGTTACTACTGTATGTGTACATTTCTGAAAAAACATAAAAAATTGCAAAAAAAAACAAAACTACTGGCTATTGCTATTCTTTAACAAACATTCAGATATTCCAACCATGTTTTCATCAGTACCTGATCTGCCTATTATTAACTACAACAATAATAATTAAGGCCATTACACATACAAATATGAATTTGTTTTTCATTATCAGTGCTTAGAAAAATTCTGCTTTGCACTTTATGAATACACAAAGGGCACACTACAGACAGTCTTGCCAACAAACCAATTATTTAATTGTTATTATTGACACTACATCCAGATATACTGAGACAGATGGGAAATCAGTGAATTTTACTACTAAAATGAGTCGAATGTTCACAGGAATACAGCTAGGAAAATTTTTAAAAATAATAAATCATTGTATATAAAAATAATGAAAGGTAAAGGTAGGAGAATAACTTGAAGCGTGCTGAATTGCATATGGTTGTGGTTCGTGACTACTGTAACAGCGCCGTAGAGAGGTGATTAGTAGCATCACATTCACGTTATTACACAATACAATGAACTCCCTGACTCCTCCGAAAGATGTAATGGGTTCTTTAGAGTGCACACGAGTCAGAAGTGTACACCGGACCTCCGGTTTAAGTCCTTGAACGAGAAGACTTGGTTTGACCCCGGGAAAGTAGCAGCTCGAACAAGCGCTGATGTTACTGTTGTAGTTATCAGCGTCCTGTAAATCTTGGGCAGTGCACTCGTCCAATAGTGCCAATTTTAAAATCATAACTACTGTAGGCCTACTAATACTAAATCCATTGTTGTTATCATCAGTATTATTAGATTGGATCCAGACTCATTGTGACCCATTAGAGATCAGTGAAATTCACTGAATGTGCAAAATATATAAACTATTAATTAATCGGAAAAATTTTTAATTCAGGACAGATACATACAAACACATGTAGTTAGATAATTTGCAAAAAATTGTCAGAGAGTAGGAAAACATCAAAATGTGGATGTCTTAAATGTCAATAAGACATTCCTATATAAGTAATGTCAACATGCCAATCCTATTCAATAATGTTGCACACTACACAGAATCCAAGATGAATATATAAATATGAAATTTCTCCAGATATAATTGTATAGTTTAGACCAAGATCTCAAATGGGAGAGCAATACCCAATCCATATGTAATAAAGCGAATCGTAAACTATTTATTCTTTGGTCACTAAAACGTGCCGGTTTTAGCCAAGATGAATTAGTTGAAATTTACAAGAGCTATGTCCGCCCAGTGTTAGAATATGCTGCACCATTATGGCATCATGGTCTTACTGTAAAACTTACCAAAATGATTGAAAGAATCCAGATCAGAGTGTGCCGATGCATACTACAAAGTGATTATACTTCATATGATTCGGCCATATCTGTTCTGAGTCTCGAGAGGCTCTCCACCCGTAGAGACACTCTCTGT